TGTTCTCAGATGTAATGACATGGCTAGTTTTTGGTGCTGTCCCACTAGCCATTTTAAAACGGAAGAGTCAAATGTGGCAATAGCATTCCAACGGCCGCATATTGTGTCATACTGCATGCTTCAGCTCACCATCTTATGCATCATATATCCTGTACCACAATCTCTTTCTGTGACTTATCAAGCTTTGAGCAATTCTATATGCAGAACAGTAAAGCAATCTACATTGCACAAGCTCCTACCTCTCTGCCATGTGACCTTCTCAGGGTCAAGGTCAAGACGGACAAATGCCCTGACCTCTTCTGGTGTGAGGCCACTGGGGTCAGATTTGTTTATTCCAAGATGCTGAAAACATAAGTGAAGAGACCGACACAAGTGCAGCGATTATGATGATGAAAAAGTGGTTCATTCATATTAAACAAAGTTACTATTAAAACATTTTCATTTCTGCAGTTAGTTTTGGCCTTGACTAGGTACTGTAGTCATAAATGTCTTTCAGACTATCTTTTTAATTAGATTTCTCTCCAAATCACTGGCCGTCTCTTGTAGATTTTTGCCTTTCCAAAATGTAAGTCAAGCCAGCTAGAGCAAACAGTTTGTGTTTTGAGTAGTCTCTCAGCTTCTCTGTTTCACAGCCAACATAACACAACACTTGACTTGTTTACTAAAAAAAAAAAAAAAAAAAACACTTGTGAACGACCAGACTTGCTGTGAATTCCAGCCTTGCAAGAATGGCTAGTTTACACAGTAGCTGCATGAGGACCCCTGTTGGTTATCTGATGAACTGCTTCCAAATTTCTACAAGTTCTAGTGTTCTCAACATTTTTAACCTCCCCATTGTCCACAATGTGGATTCCAGGGCCCGTATTCACAAAACATCTTAAGGATAAAAGTAGCTCATTACTAGCCGATTTAGGAGAAAATCTTAAAAACAATGGGCGTGTCAGTCCTAAATGTAGGACTCCTCAATTTTTGTTTTAAAAAGTATTTCACAAAGCGTTTTAGTTCTAAATTTACCTCCTAAATCTGTGAAACATAAGGAGTAGTGAAGAGGACTTCTAAGTCACTAAGACCAAATCTGAACTATCCTAAAATGGCTGTTGCCAGCAATCTACCTCGGAAAATAAACATTTTAGAAACATTTGACGATAATGAGCTTTTAAAAAGGTATCGGCTTTGGTTTGGAGGTTATCCCAACTCCAAATGTTTGATTATGTACTTAATATATAGTTGTTCTCGCGTCCAGTTTGGTTTTCTTTTATGTTTGCATGTCTTACTATCAGCCATGATTATTCTACTCTGCTAATTAAAAGGCTGTTTATATGCATATTACCAAAATTGTATTAGTTGCTTAGTCAGAAAAAAAAAATTCCACACGAAGTGGCGAAATCACGCAGTCCGTGACGGACAAATCGTTAACGGCTGGTCTATGTGGTAATATAGTACATCGGGCAGGACATCCATATGCTCTCCTAACATTCATCGACCTCAAATATGGCTTATCATCTGAAATATGTATGTAGTAGCAACTTTACATGGCAGCTCAATCTAATGTTAGCCTAGAAAAAGTGTGCAGTGTTTGTGCGGAGTGTGGAAGCTGAACAGTAGCGCGCTTGGGCTACTGCATGACAGATGAAGGCGCCGGTGCAATCATTTGCTCTTAAAATACTTCGTCATTTTTGGTCATACAGATAAGAGTAATGCATCTTTTGTATCTGTAAAGACTCTACGTTTATTCCTGTGCACCCAGAATAACAACGAAACGTTGCGCTATTGTAAAATAATGAAAGCAAACAGGATGCGCTTTCTGCCGTCTCGGACTCTGTGAACTTGAGCGCGTCACTTCGAAACTCCGTGTATGCTTGCCTTATTACAGACATGGAAAATATATCTATAGAGAGTGAAACTTTTAAATGAACCAATTCAAAAATCTTTAGTCGAGGGCAGCCCTAATGCATACTGACTAATTGTTTACGAGAAGCATAGCCTACATATTTATTTTACATTATAAATTGTATTATATTATATTATTACATTTTATATTATACATATACATGTCAATTGCACTTTTTTTTATTGTCCTCATTTGTAAGTCGCTTTGGATAAAAGCGTCTGCTAAATGACTAAATGTAAATGTACATATAAAATGCTGACAATTAAATGATTATATAGCCTACTCGTTTAATTAGTGACACTTAGCCTGCAATTTAAAATCTTTATTTGAATGTGGCAATTAACATTTTTAATTTTAAAACCTTTATTTGAATATGGCAACATAATATGTATGTCGTTTAACCATGCAAAGCCACATGTCCTATTCATCATGTTCATGTTTTTGTCTGCTTGACAGGACCATACAAATTTGTGTATCTTGTATTAGAGCAGTTAAAATTTGGTGCTTTGAGTACAATTCTCTGACCACTGGATGTTCAACATGGCACCTCATGGCAAAGAACTCGGAGGATTTGAGAATTAGAATTGTTGCTCTCCACAAATATGGCCTAGGCCAGGGGTAGGCAAGTTCGGTCCTAGAGAGCGAGCGTCCTGCATAGGAGAACTGTGGTAAGATAAAATGTTTTGTGAATACGGGCCCAGAAGTCTTAAGAGGTGAATGTTCTTCAAAGTTCACATTTATTGAATAAGGATTAAAGATAAGGATTTTTTTATGGTTTTATCCTGATAAATTTAGTTTGGCATAGTATATATATA